AAATTTGCCTAACGGGCTGCTCAAACCAGTTTGATATAAGACCAGTGGAAAACCTCTGAGCACATAGAGGGATAATTCCCAATTTTTCTTTTACCCAGAGTAGCAAAATTAGCTTGGTTTCCTATCCAAAATTACCAACTCTGTGTTGTGTGTGATTGCAGGTGATCAAACACCAGAATGTGTTGGCAGATTTTGGGGTAATGTGATGAGTGGGAACCTGGGTGTTGCGGTAGTGCTCGTGTGAAGGCTGAGAGTGGCTCAGGCTCCTTTGCTTTCTTACTTGTTACCCAGCTCTGCCTCGACAGGCCCTTGAACTGATATTTTCCTTCCCTTTGATGACTGTAGGGATGAGGGGAAGGAGGACTTGGTTTAGGGGTCGATGCAACAAAAAAATCTTCTAGCAGGAAAACAAGTGAGAAATGAGTAGGTTCGTTCTTCCGTTGTCTGATCTTGACATCCCACTGTGGCGGGGGAAGTATGAGTGAGTGTTTTTGGAAATGTGGATTATGACTTGGGCTGCCCTCAAATTTTTAAAGTTTTGGCTTGTTGTAAGGGGGAAAAATGTGTTCTGCATGTATGCTACGCATACACGCAAGATCAGATGTGTGGGGATTTGAAGCTAGGGTGAGACGGAGGATGCCCTGTGGGGAATAGAAAGAAATGTTGTCAATTTTGTGCTCAGTGTTTGCCTTGATCTTTTTTACTCTTAATTGACCTTACCTAATAGAAGAAATTGCTAAGAATGCTGGTGTAGCCCAGAGAAAAATAATATCTGTGATTTGTTATATATTTGTTATAGCTGAAAACAGACATGGGAGCTGGTTGCTGTATGAGATTGAACAAGGCTCAGTGCTGGGTCCTCCACTTGGGTCACAACAACGCCCTGCAAAGATACAGGCTTGGGGAAGTGTGCCTGGAAAGCTGCCTGGTGGAAAAGGACCTGGCGGTGCTGGTCAACAGGCAGCTGAATATGAGCCTGCAGCGTGCCCAGATGGCCAGGAAAGCCAATGGCATCCTGGCCTGCATCAGAAATAGTGTGACCAGCAGGACTAGGGCAGTGATCGCACCGCAGTATTCGGCACTGGTGCGGCCAAATACTGTGTTGAGTTTTTGGGCCCCACACTACAAGAAAGACATTGAGGTGCTGGAGCGCATACAAAGAAGGGCAAGAAGGCTGGTGAAGGGTCTGGAAAACAAGTCTGGTGAGGAGCAGCTGAGGGAACTGGGGTTGTTTAGCCTGGAGAAAAGGAGGCTGAGGGAAGACCTTATCACTCTCTACAGCGACCTGAAAGGAGGCTGTAGCCAGGTGGGTTTTGGTCTCTGTTCCCAGGTAACAAGTGATAGGACAAAAGGAAATGGCCCTAAGTTGTACCAGGAGTGGTTTAGATTGAATATTTGGAAAAAAATCTTCACTAAAAGGGTTGTCAAGCACTGGAACAGGCTGCCCAGGGCAGTGGTGGAGTCACCATTCCTGGAGGGATTTAAAGGACACGTAGATGCAGCACTTAGGGACATGGTTTAGTGGTGGACTGGGCAGTGTTCAGTTAACAGTTGGACTTGATGATCTCAAAGGTCTTTTCCAATCTAAATGATTCTATGGTTCTCTCCACCTCTGATAACTGTATACCCAGGTAATCCTCCCCAGCGTTGATAATGAGCAAATCACATTAAATTAATTGGGATGTTGGTGGCTTCTGTGTTAAGGGCAGTGATCAGTTCAAGAAGAGCTGATTTTTGAAGCAGGACTTTCTGAAAGCCTAGCTCCTCATTGTGCAGACCTCCTTCTCCCTTACCTTTTGGTCTGGGGTTGCGATACGTGTGTGCCACCTTGGACCTGTCAGTGAGAGAGCAGGGGGATGACGTGGGGATGACCTGAAGTCCTCTGTTTTGATATACAGCAACAGCTGCAAACAGGGCAGTAGCCATGCCATCAGCGAGTCCTTCAAGGACTTCTCCACAGAGCTGCTGCCCATGGGCTCTGAGGGGTTCTGGGAAATGATTTCCATGTGGAAAGAGTTAATTCTGTGTACTCCTGAGATAGGATTCTTTTAGAAAACAGATTATCCACAGAGAGTACATTGTCTGTTTTCAAGTTTATAGTGATAAAATATTAGTAGATGGAGATCTTAAACTGTAAAAGCGATCTAATTTGGTAAAATAACAGCATTTCGTTAAAGCTTTTTTCACAATAAAATCCATTTTGATTCTTTAAAAACATACACTTTGGTTTTAAACACATATCCATGTGTTGCCTAAGGCTGGCAGTGGGGCGGAAGGGTCTCTGTGGGGAGAGGTCTGTCACAGCTGGCTCCAGCTGGCTTCAGCAGCCCCACCTCAGGGCACAGCTGAGCCCATCAGTGGCTCTGTGGGGACTCTGGGAAGCAGAATTGAGAAAGGGCAAAACTCCTTCCAGAAGTGAGGAGCAGCCCTGTGAGCGGTGAGGAGGAAGAGGAGCTTCAGGAGCTGGAGCAGACCCCGCCCCAGCCTGTGGAGAGAGCAAGGTGGGGCAGGAAAAGGTGTGAGGACAGGGACAGGCTGTTGAGGGGTGTAAAAGCCCCTCTGCTGTGTCTAGGGAGTCTGGGCTGGAGAAGGCAGCCCCTGCATGGGCTTGGCAGCCACCACATGAGGGATTCTGGCCTTTCCAAGTCTCTCGGGATAACAAAGCTGCATGTGGGTAGGTTGGACAGTGCTTGTACAACCTGTTGTAACTTCTCACTTTGCTCTTCTTCTCCAGGGGTGTGCTTCTGCGTGGTGTTCATCAGACATGGGCATCCCAAGCAATGGGGATAGTTGTCTCTGGTGCAATACCACAGATAGAGTAGGCAGCTAGGAGAAAAGGTGATTTTTTTAATCTAATAGGGAATCAGAGAATCCATATGGTAGAAATTTTAGTGGACAAAGAGCAGCAAACTTCTGTTTGAGGGTTCAGTGAGAGTATCCTTCTCAAATTTGCATTTTCTCCATGCTATGGAAGCACAGGACTAAGATGTGTAATAATGTACAGAGCTAGTGCCCGTCTTCACATGCCTTTGATGGACTTCCCACCACTGTTACGGTGGTACTATAACAGTTAGTTTAATTGGATTTAATAATGATGATTTGCCTGCTACTCTGCATGGAAACAAATCTTCAGAAAGTGGAAAATATGTTTATGCCCAAGGATATACACAAATGAGTGTACAACATACATAGTCATGTTTTTAGGAACCAAATTGCAAAGCCTCCCATATATTTGGAAGTAATTTTACTTTATTTTCCTACAAAAGTAAGTTTGTCATTCAAAAACATACTTCCAAATTAACCTAAAATAGATGTTTTACGTGGTTTATTCTCATAGTTTCCAATGATAGTAGTATTTCATATTGCTGTTAGAGATTTTTGTGGGGTTTTTTGTTTGGTTTTTAACGCCAGGTGTTTAGTATCAGTTTAATTGCTATACTAGGGCTTTGGCTTAAATTAGAGGCTAAGTATGAGGACTGACCTCATACATGTGTTGGAGATTAAGTCTTATGAAGGCGAATCTTGCTGGTAGTGGCCTATCCAGAAGTTCTGCTACTTACTCTCTATTTCCTGTACGTTGCTTTTCTTTCAGTGGGGCTGAGTGTCTGTTACTGTATACTTTAAACTTGTCTCCTTGAGTACCTTTCTGATGGTTTTCCAGCGTGTCATCTAGGAGGTCTTTCAGCCCCAAATTAGTTATTTCTACAGAGGAAATGGAATTGATTGGAAACTAAGCAAACCAACCATACGTTGAAAGATGTTGCTTAAAAGGATGTATTCTCCATAGACTGGTCATTATGAAGTTGTAGCTATTGCTGCTTAGTGCGTTGATGTAGAGCAGGGGGAAAGCACAGTGAAATTTTGCTTATTAACAAATTTAATTAACTTTTAATTGAATTCTAGGAGGATAAATGGTTTCATTACAAAGTCTTACAATGAATGCCTTCATTGGAATTAAACATTCATGGAAACTTCCTGACGATTGTTCTGATAACAAAACATGAAAATCTCTTATGATCTGCCCACATGTCTGTAGCCTCATTTATGAAGTCAGATAAATGAAAATACCTTGCTCACAGAATGCCCTTTGTTTAATTTACGTAACACTATTCATCATGCCATAATTTAATTAAGAGGAGGGGAAGAAAGCAGGTCAGCATTCAGACTATGTTGCGGTCCTGACAGCACTAGGGAGAACATGTGAATTTTGTCCATCCCTATAAGGGCAGTTATGTAACATCAAAAACTATTTGTCTGAGAGTGGAATTTGAGATTTAGCTCAGTATGTGAAAACAAAGATATCAACTGAACAAAAACTTAACAGTTTTTTGTTGTAATTATCTGCCTCTTATGAGTGTAGAAGACGAAGGCTGAAATGTGATAACATTTGTTTTTGAGGAACATGGTAAAGAAACTAAAGAAAGTTAAGTAGCTCTTTATAGAGTACTGATTACAGTATCACTAAATGTGACAAACGTTAAGTGAAATGAAAATTTCAGATGCATGTGTCCCATCTAGCCATCTGCTGAATGCATCCATCTTTCATCTAAGCAGGTACTCCATGATGATTTGAGCAGCAGTGAAACACCTGAATTGGTGTAAAATAAAAATTCCCCTCAGACACTGCCTAATGCTGAAGATCCTTCAGCATTAGACGTATCTCCAGGCATGACTTTAATGGCATCTAGTTTTCTTCTGCTTGAGTGCACAGTTGTCCAAGGCTGAGCAACTAAATGTGTATTTTCTCCTGAAGTCTATTTAGGATCCAGAAAACCTACCTTCTGTCACCACAAATTAAGAGATTTGTTTCTGTAGGATGTTTTATCTTCAGCAAAATATCAGAGAGAGACAGGCTGCTGTCAACAAGAAATGCTGAGAAGCCACACCAGCATTAGTACTCTGTGGAATATTACCCTTGCTTACCTTGTTGCTCCCATGTGGGTATGACCATTTTATTTAAAATATGCATTAAAACGTGATTCCTTTTTCTCTTTCTTTAGGCTACAGACTTAGATGCCGGTGTTAATGGTCAAGTTCGTTACAGTTTGGCAAACTTCAACAATCTTTTCCGAATCACATCAAACGGTAGCATTTATACAGCAGTTAAACTGAACAGAGAAGTAAGGGACTATTATGAACTTATTGTTGAAGCAACAGATGGAGCTGTGGACCCCCGCCGTTCAACATTAACTTTAGCGATCAAGGTGCTGGATATTGATGACAACAGCCCTGTTTTTACTAATGCTTCCTACACAGTCTGTGTGCCAGAAAATCTCCCACCAGGCACTGTGTTCCTGCAGATAGAGGTAAGAAAGCATTATGGAGTGAAGAAGTTTTGTAAATGGTTCTGCATTACTAAGCGTGATCTTACTTAAGTTGTCAGACTGCAGTAAAAGATTGCAAACTGGAGTGGAGGAAGTTATGACATTTAACAGACTGAAAAAATGCGTGATCTTTAGACAGATACATAAAAATACTTTGAAGCTGAGGTTGATTTGGAAGTAAGATCAATTATTAAAAAAAAACCCAAACAACAAAACCTACATTGTTATTGTAATTTCTTGGAATATTGTTTTACACATTTAAAATGCTTTTGATTTGTTTATGAAAGCTTGTCATATTGCTTCTACCTGTTGACATAGTAGCAAGAGAGAGCTTTGTCTCGAGTGATTTTGTGGGGGGACCTTATAGCAGCCTTCCAGTACTTAAAGGGGGCTACAGGAGAGAAGGGGAGGGACTCTTCGTCAGGGAGTGTAGCAACAGGACAAGGGGTAACAGCTTTAAGCTGAAAGAGGGGAGATTTAGATGAGATATTAGGAAGAAATGTTTTCCTGTGAGGGTGGTAAGGCAGTGGCCCAGGCTGCCCAGAGAAGCTGTGGATGCCCCATCCCTGGAGGGGTTCAAGGCCAGGCTGGATGAGGCTTTGAGCAACCTGGGCTAGTGGGAGGTGTCCGTGCCCATGGCAGGGGGATGGAACTCAGTGATCTTTGAGGTCCCTTCCAACCCAAACCATTCTGTGATTGTAGGGTTTAGACATTGAAGTCAAGCCTAGATGTCTAACCTCACATTATAGTTAAGGGAGATAAATAGTTGCTTCCAGAAGCGATTCTTCCAATACCAAGATCATCATCTAAGATAGCTGGAGTAAAGTGAAGGTAACACCTCGAGGTGTTATCTTCTCTTTACTGACTATAAAAGATACTCAGACAAGTGAAAGTTAGTTGTTCAAGGATGAGCTAGATGTCTAAACACAGCCGAGATTCACTTCCCACAAGCAGTCTATATATCCTCCCGTTGTTCTGGTGAGCATCCTCTAATGAGAAGACACAATTTCAATGAGAATGGTTTTCTCTGAACCTGACTGCAGGTAGATCTAATGTCAAATTACAGCTAAAGCAATCACATAATACTCCTTATCCTGATTAAAATGACTATTCTTTGTCTAAATACTGGTATGAAATAAAAATATCCATGCTACCTCACAGGGGTGAGATCAAGTGTCTGCTTAGCCCAGCATCCTCTCCCTGGCAGTGACCGATAGCAGGTGCCCAGGGAAGAGAACAAGAACAGACTGAGCTTCCAGCGAATCTTGCCCAAAATATTGTGCTCATTTCCAGTATCACTGGATTTTACAGCTTTAAGTGGATTTTTCTTCCTCATGTTCATGTGATAGTGTCAAGTGCATCCAGTACTATTAGAATAATATAACAAAACAGAGGTTGTTTGTAGTAGTTTACTTTTTTATGTTCTTTGTATCTAGTAGGGTTTTTTTGTGAAAATGGATTTTGTTTGGTTTAAAGTATTTTTTTTTCTGCATGGCACACTCTAGGCGAAGGATGTTGATCTTGGTTCTGATGTTAACTATCGAATACGGACAGAGGAAGCACTACAGTATTTTGCACTGAACAAGTATACAGGCGAGTTATCGCTTTTGAAGTCCTTGGATTATGAATCATTCTCTGACACAGAAGCAACCTTCACCTTTCTTGTGGAAGCCTTCGATAGCAAGGGTACTATGCCTCCTGGTCTCGCTACTGTCACAGTGAGAGTAAAGGTAAGAGGAATAACTCATCAGTTGATACCATCCTCTCATTTTTTACACAATGCTTCATCAGCCCTTACAGGTGTTCTCATGAAACAGCAGAGCATGGTAGCACTATGCTTTCCTGCTTTTTCCCTTGTATGAAGCTACTGGCTTTTTCTGACAGCAACTTGTTCAGTTAAACATGCACTTTATAAGATCTATAATTACCTTGCTATATGTAATTAAGTAGTTTAAATCTTGGCTCACAGATTTATGAAGTACAAGAATATCTGGTATGTATATAAACATTTAGTCCTTTAGAGTCCCTGAAAGGTTTAAATAAGTACCTAATGGAATTGTTTGCAAAAATGACACCATTGCATTCAGTTGAAGCTCTTGTAAAGTGTAATTTTACAAACTATTCGGTTGTATTGAGTGCTGATGTGGCACACCACAACCTGTATTTCAGATTCTGCTGCTTGAAAATACAAAGCTGCAAAGAAACAGGCTTATTTAATGGTCTTACTCAGTGAGTTACAGCATCACCTCTGGGTTTCAGTTATCTCACCAGTAATATGGGAATAATGGTATTCTGTTTGGTAATGATCCACAAATGAAAAGCATTTGTACCTGAAACATTAGCACTTACCAATCTTAATTTGCTCAATGTACTCATGTCCAAGAGGAGAGGATATTTTAAATGCTCTAAATTGTGCCTCCCTGCACAAAGGTGCGGTTCTGGAGCCAGTCAGTCAAGTCCTTTTCAGCAGTTGCTTCATTTTGTTGACTCTCTGTCAGCAGAGAACTGAGCTGTGATGGAGAAGAGAATTTAATTACTCATTTTAGCCAAGAAGCAAAAATTGTATCAGGAACAAAAACGTAGGTCACAAATGTGAACTTAATCTCTGACAACTTAAGCTTAGATGTAAGTGTGCAGAAGTATTTAGCATATATGAATCAGTCTGGGGTTCAGCTTACTGTGTATTGGCAGATGCTATGAACTGCCACATGATTTTGAGTAATTCTCTTTGTCAGTCTCTACCGAGCTCAGAATTATTTTAAGGACAGTAAATGTCTCTTGATTATTAGCTTTGATGACAACATAAGAAGTTTTCTGCAATACTTCTCTGTCTCTGCAAAGTTCTCAGCCTGAGATGCAGGTCACCTAATAGTCTGCACTCTTCCATGGCAGTTTGCAAGTCAAGCAGAGGAAAACATGGCTTTTGACATCAATCCTTGAGCCATTTCCCTTACACTTTTAAGGGGGAAGTTCATCAAACCTGTTTTTTTTCCTGAAAGAAACTTTTTCCCAGCCCAGTGAATTTTGGAAATAATTTAGTGATTGGATTTGTTTGGATGTTTTTGTTGGCTTTTTTAAAGGTACGTGTTTTCAAATAGGACTATATTTAGAGAAAAGCTGTAGGGCTGACTCCGTAGGGCTGACTCAGCTGTGTGTGCATTTGTATTGTATTCGTTAGTGACAGGGTACAGGGAAGCTGTACAGTTCAACTTGGTGGCCTTAGTGTAACAGCTCCTTGTGCACTGTCAAAGGAGGTGATATGGGAATAGGGAACTTAAGAAATGGGATTAGTAGGACCAAAAAATACGTTTCTTGTTTTCCTGGAAACTCTTCCCACACACAAACAACAGAAAGGGAGCATGATGGTGCTTGATTGAACGGCAGTATATGAGAGGCTGGAATACTGGGCTGGAGCCAGGAGTAACAATTTCCACAGTAAAAAGTGTTGGGTTGGGGACAGAACAGGGACTGGAAGTGAGGACAAGCAGCTTGTATTTTGAAAGAGAAAGAGAAAGAAAATAAATGAAAGAAATTGAGTATTGTCATACTCAGTCACTGGCTGACTTTGGCAACATGATCAGTGGACATAATTAAATATTTTATATATATATATTGCTGAGGTTAAGATGGTGCTTAGGTTCCAGACTTGAGTGACAGGTAGAGCAGTAGTTTTTTGAGTGGCAGTTGAGACAATGGGAGAGGGCTTTGTGGAAAAAAACATTTTTAATATCTGCTTTTTGTTGGGCGGATGTCATTAATGGGTCATATATCAGCTGGTAGAAATTGAGAACCTTGGTCACAAGAGATGTCTGGAATAGAAAAAATGGTTTGATTTCAGTTTATAGATTAATTTTCCAGATAATAAAATTTACGAGGCAGGGGTGAAAGGTGGAGATTGACATCAGAGCTTTGTGCTACCCTTGTGTGAGATGAGAAGGATCCACAAGAGGACCCCTTGAATGGTTCATTCGAGAGACAGAGCAGCAAGAGAGGGGTGCAGAGTCTTGGCAACCACGTGAGAACAAGATGAAGAGCAGGCCTCAGCTGTGAAAAGAAATACAGAAGTAAACAGTGTGTTGCAATGTTACACATGCTGGTAGGCTGACCGGGAGCTGATTTTTGCCCCGCAGCTCGGTGAGAATGTTTACAGGGCACTGAACTCGCCCCTAGATCTTGAATGCATGATGGCATAAATGACACGTTACATAGCAGTCTAGAGCCTCATGCACAGTGTATTGCCTGATTCCAATCCAGGCTTTTATTCATCTGCAATGTCAACCATGATCTGCTGCTTTAGGGCATAGTGGAATAGGTAACTCCTGATGAGCATGTTCATTGTTTCATTGGAGTAATTTGTAATCTTTTGTTGATAAATTAAGATTTCTGCACAGAGAATTGATGGGGTTCTAAAACTCACCATTTCTGCCAGCCCATCTGCCAAACCAAAGCCTGTGTTCAGGGCCAGGGTGCTTCAGCGTGGGGATGAACATCCACCATGGCTCTGAAGGAGCTGTTCCCATGCAGCCTCTCTTTTGCTCTGGGGCCAGGAACTGGATATGTCTGTTTCTCATTAGTAGTAAGTCTGCTTTTACTTTATTTAGAAGATGTTTATAATTGTTTCAATACAGTGTTTGTGACCCCAAGTAGGAACTAAACCAAGTGCAGGTAGGCCCTAACATAACCGCTGTACAGGTTGCAGTCTTTATTAACACAGAATTGAACTAGAGAAAACCAGGAGCAAGCGTTACAGCAGCCGTGGGTCCAGCAGGGAATTCACATAAGCATTAGGGGTTCAGTCCCTGTAATCCTCAGAGTGCTTTTTGTATTACAGAGGTCTCCAAGTCCTTTTGGGCTTGTGCTGCTCTGTTGACTTTTCTCATTTTTCACAGTCCAGCTTGTAACCGAAAGCATTGTAATTTTTACTGTGTAGTAGGATTCTGTTAACCAACTACGGACAACATCTGATGGTTTCATATATCATTTATGTGATATAAAATGGAATGAGCGACAGCACACTATACCCATAATCACACTGATCTTTGTGGCTTGAGGGAGGGTAGATACACATGGTGACTTTCTTTAGACTCTCAGCCTTTGGCGTGACAAGTTACAAATAGTTTCTATTAACCTTTCCTGAACTTGATCAAAACACAGATTGCACAGCAGAATGGTCACTGCAGAAAAAATAACTTAATCGGTTACCTGCGTGTCAGTATTGAAATACATTATTGGCCACTGCTGCAGGCAAGTGGCCCTTTATGTTGTATGGATGCCTCATGACTCTTTCTTCAAAGAAAGCTAAAGGTAAATTAATAAATTGTTGCATTCTTTCTAGTATTACTGAGGAGGAATAGGATAAGTGAGATTGATTTCTTCTTGCCAGAAAGCAGCAAAGCACCTCAAACAGCCTGAGGGTTTTCTTTTTTTCCCCAGTCCTCAGATTCCTCTCAATGCTTTTGTGACTTTTCACTTTAACCTACAAGTAGGAATGAGTCATCTTGTCTTGGGATGGCATGGGAGGATTGCACAGGTGTTTATCCAGAATAATTGATGATTGTAATCTGATCTGTAATCAAGAAAACAAAACTTCTTATTTTACCTGGGTTTTTAAAGTATGTATATATAAATATACAGGCTAGACATAGCAAATGTTATTGGTATTGAAAACATAGTTGAAGGGATAAAAAAGTTAGCAATTCTAAGAAACAATTTGTGTGCTATTTTTCAGTGGTTTGCCACTGTCAAGGTGTAATCTCTCTCACCATGAGAATGGCAAAGATTTGCACTCACCCCGTGCCTGAGAGTGCTGGATTGTTTGTTAGAGTGCCTGCAGTGTGTATTGCTGTGTGCACAAGCATCCCCTCAAAATATCAGTGCTTCCCAGTGTTGGAAGAAGCAAAATCATTAATGTTCAAATAGTGCGCTTATTATTAGGATTTAGAATTTGGAAAAAATTGCTGTGGTAATTTCAAGTAGTGGCTTACTTCAGTGGGCTTAATGTAAATATAAAATTGAAGTGATACCTTATCAAATCAAAATAAGGATCACAAATAAAGGTTCGTTTGCAAACTTAGGTACATGTCTTGGGGGATGAATGTACTGGTGATGTATTGGGATGAATGCATGAACCCTTAAAGGAGAATACCTTTAGGGGTGGTATATGTTTATTATAGGAGACCAAGAGATTACATAAAGAATGGGAAAGGACTTCAAGTTCTTGATACTCTAGTATCTGGTGAAATTAGGTGTTTCTATAATAAACAGGAATAACCTTTTCCCGGTTTATATTGCTGTTAAATGAGTAATGTGTTTCTAAATACATATTATAAGAATTTCTGTATCATGGGGCCTGCAAGGTACTTCTATATTTTATGCTGTGACCTCCTTTTATTATTCTTACCAGCATTATTTTTGTCTTGTTCTTGTTTTTGTAATTGCTTTTTCTCCTCCTTCTGTGTTCCAGGATGGGTTTTCTTTTTAGTTTTTCAAGTAGATTATGTAGTGTAATAAAGCCGTTATCTCTGGCTGATGATTCAAAGTGATAGAGCAACAAGAATAAGTAAAACCAGATCTGTATGTTTCCAGCAATGCCGTATTATGAGACTGCTTACCAAATATTTAATATAATTTCTACCATGCCTTGATCCCAGTGGACTGTTATAAACAGTTTACAATGAATTTCCAGATCTAGTAAAACTAAATTTACCCATTAACATCAATAAACATATTG